TCTTTTGCGCTCTGAAAGTGTGTCTCTGTGTGTGTTGTGTGTCTCTCTCTGGGTGCCTACCTAGGGGAACCAGGGCTGGCTGAGAGAGCTGCATTCCTCCACCTCCACCCCCCCCATTCCACCCCTCCTGTCCTCCTCCGCTCATTTCCATGTATGTCCTGACCTACTTTGAAGCACAATTGCAAGGAGGGCTGAGAATGCAATGGGGTGGGGAGAGGAATGAGATTAGGCCTGTGTGGTTGCCTAGACAAACAATCCGGGGGGCTTTAGAAGAGGCTCCTCAGTGGATCCTGCAAACGGAATTAAACTTTTTTTTTTCTTTTTCTTTTTTGCTGGGGGAAGACATGCTCCTGCTGTTTTTCCTCAGGAAAGCATGGGTGCATGTATTTGGGAAGTGGAGGAATCATACAGTGGTGGTGGAAGGAGGAAAAAGGCAATCAGAAGAGCCTTTTTTTTCTTTTAAATGCCTCTGACGATCAGGCAACTCAGCTGGGATCGTCAGAGCCTTTTGAAAGCATTTTTTTTACAACCTCTTTGCGGAAGAGCTTGTAGAAAAAATGGTTTTAAAAGTTTAAAAAAAAAAATTGGCCACGCCCATCCAGTCACATTAACCCCACCACCACCAAGCCACGCCCACAGAACCGGTAGTAACAAATTTTAGATTTCACCACTGCCTCCAAGGTTCCTTCCAAGACTGGTATTCTGCTAAGATGGAGAAACACTGCTTTAGAGTCGGCTCACCTGGCACCTGCACGCGCCGGTCCTGGGACCGGCTGCCCTACATCGCGAGGCTCTCTTGTTCTGCTCTATTCTTGGTCACTTCAACAATACTCTCAGGTGATCCAATGATTAAAAACCCTTTTAAAAAAACAATAAAGGCAGGGATGAAAAGGTCCATTTTGAACCCCCTCCTGGATTTTAAGGAGCCAGGGGTCCTGCCTCACCTATTTTAAGGAGCAGCTTTTTCCACGGTGAAACCCCCAGCCGGGCAAAGCAGCCTGAATGAAATGAAGCTGATGATCTGGAAATAGATAAATGAAATGGAATGGGTCCTGAAGGGGAAGGATACTGCAAAATCTCCATTCCCAACCCACTCCCGGGAGAAGGATATTGCAAAATCCCCATTCCCACCCCACTCCAGGGGAAGGATACTGCAAAATCCCCACTCCAGGGGAGGGATACTGCAAAATCTCCATTCCCACCCAGTCCAGGGGAAGGATATTGTAAAATCCTCATTCCCACCCCACTTCAGGATAAGGATACTGCAAAATCCCCATTCTCTCCCCACTCTGGGACCAGCCAGAGGTGGTATTTACCGGTTCTCCGAACTAATCAAAATTTCCACTACCGGTTCTCCAGAACCCGTCAGAACCTGCTGAATTTCAACCCTGAGTTGAGCCTTGTCCAGAGAGCTGGAGATGACCTGGAAGGCTTTGATGGAGGGAGGAAGAGAGCTTCCTAAATCTTAAGAGCATTCTTCCAGTTCTACGAGGCCTACTTGATCCATTTTAATGCCCAACAGATCCATTTTGCTACCACCCTTCCCTCTCCTAAGTCCGTTTCCTGACTCGTTTTTTCCTGTGTTGACAATCGTTCTTTTTCCATTTTTTTTTTTTATCTGGAATGGCTTGGCTGTTTTGCTCCCACTTGAGCCATTGAATTGCAGCTTTTGGCCTTTGGAGGATAACCTTTAGCTCAAGGGCTGTTTGTTCTGGGTTTCCCAAAAGCCACCTGCTAAGCTGGTACCTGATAAGCCAGCTATCTGTGCAGATAAGGTGACCAGGCCAGAGGCCAAGAATGAGATCGAAATAACTTATTTGCTTAGTGGAAGCTGTTTGCAAAAGGTTTTTCAAGGAGTTGCGAGCTGCTCTCGACTCTCAGCGTGTGCCAGGACGATATACTTTTTCCAAGTCGTGTGTTTGTTTATATACGGTTAGAAATCGGACACAAATTCTTGTAACGTGGCTTCTGAGCTTGAAACAGTTTGCGTGTTTCTGACAAAAGCAGAAATCCCGTATCTGTGGTTTCAACTTTGCATGCACCCAGAATGAATTAAAAAAAAACAACATGGATGAGTTTGGATGAATTGATTGCTTTATTTAGCTGCACAAAATAATAAACCGTTATCATGTCATCAGTACTTTGGTATGAGTAACCGCAAGGGTTTTTTTTTTTTAAAAAAAATGTTATATTTAACTGTAGATGAAAAAGCCAAGTAATTTTCTGCTTGTAATAATAACATGCTGAATGGTAATTGATGGCTGATAGAATTTTTTTCTTTCTTTTCTCAATTTTGTAATACTTTAAGACAGGGTTTTTTTGTTTTTTTTTTTCCAAATTTGGTAGCTTTTAAGATGTGTGGATTTGAACTCCCAGTCTCCACACATCTTAAAAAGCCAGTCTGAAAAACACTATTTTCAGCTATTTAAATAATATATGGTGGCGCAGTGGACTAAGTGCTGTTAAAGTAGCACTTAGCTGCCAGCTGCCTGCAATTACTGCAAGTTTGAATCTCACCAGACTCAAGGTTGACTCAGCCTTCCATCCTTTCTAAGGTAGGTAAAATGAGGACCCGGATTGTGGGGGCAATAAGCTGACTTTGTATAAAAAAGAACACCGCTTAGGGGGAGCCGAAAGCCCTGCTAAGCAGGTATATACAAAAGTATGAAGGCTATTGCTTAATGCATTGTAAGCCGCCCTGAGTCTCCGGAGAAGGGCGGCATATAAATCGAACCAATAAATGAATGAATGAATGAATGAATGAATGAATGAATGAATGAATTAATGAATAAATAAATAAATAAATAAATAAATATTGTTAATAAGATCTATATCATATAAACATCATTATTCTGAAACAATAACAAGATTATAGAATAGAATAGAATAGAATAGAATAGAATAGAATAGAATAGAATTCTTTATTGGCCAAGTGTGATTGGACACACAAGGAATTTGTCTTTGGTGCATAGGCTCTCAGGGTACATAAAAAGACAAGATACATTAGTCAAGAATCATAAGGTACAACACTTAATGATAGTCATAGGGTACAAATAAGCAATCAGGAAACAATATTAATATAAATCGTAAGGATACAAGCAACAAGCAACATATAAATATAATAATTATATTATAAAAAGGGCAGACTATGCTTCCTTTTATGTATAAATCCCTACCAAGGGGTACCTCTTATTATTCAGGAATGAATAGTTTATAACCCAGTCCTTCAAACTGTGCAGGACTTGCTAAAACCTGCCTGAGTTTACCCCATAATCCTAAACCGGAACATTTAGCAATGGTTGCCTTCGCACAATGCTAAATGCACTTTTAAGTTTGTTGTTCACTACACAATTGCAGATGGTAAATTCATTCTTCCTTCTAAGCCAAAGCAAATAAGACGCATTACACCTTAAGACAGATACACCTTGCATTTATGATGGTTTTGTGTGTATCTATAGATACATAAACACATAAATCGCACGTACACAATTGATCTATCAGTACATGATTTATATATAAATAGCAGTGATGTAAACAGTAATCAGTAAGGGATGCGGTGGTTCAGTGGCTAAGACACTGAGCTTGTCAATTGAAAGGTCAGCAGTTCGAATCCCTAGTGCTGCATAACAGGGTGAGCTCCCGTGACTTGTCCCAGCTTTTGCCAACCTAGCAGTTTGAAAGCAGGTAAAAAATGCAAGTAGAAAAATAGGGACCACCTTTGGTGGGAAGGTAACAGCGTTCCATGCGCCTTTGGCGTGGAATCATGCCGGCCACGTGACCACAGAGACGTCTTCGGACAGCTCTGGCTCTTCGGCTTTGAAACGGAGATGAGCACCGCCCCCTAGAGTCGGGAACGACTAGCACGTATGTGCGAGGGGAACCTTTACCTTTTAAAACAGTAATCAGATTATTTCAGTTCTTATGCAGTGGTCTGTGGCTTGAAATTTCCATGGAATTCAGATAAAGAGGCTATTTACACCCATTGGGTGTATTTATACCCATTATGGAAAAGTAAAAAGTTGAGATTCGGTGTTAAATGTTTTATTCTACTACAACAGAGGGAGCCGCAAGTCAAGCCTTTTTTTTTTTCCTTCTCTCTTCTCCCTCCTCCCTTTTCTTTCCCTTCTCCTCCCCCCTCTGTCCTCCTATTTCCTTTTTGTGTTTTTGCATTTTATTCTATAATCTGGAGGGTTTTAGGAAGAGATTCAATAGTTGTTTGTCTGAAATGATATAGGGCAGGGGTGTCAAACTCGATTTCATTGAGGGCCGCATCGGAGTTGTGTTTGACTTTGGGTGGCCCGAGTGGGTGTGCACAGGGTGGGCATGGACAGCTCGATGTCACTCATGTCGGGGGTGCCTGTGGTGGCCCAAGCCCTCTGTCAGTGAAAATGGGCTCCTGAGCTCCGTTTTTGGCTGTGATCTAACTACCCCTCCGGGCCGGATCCAGCCCCCGGACCCTGAGTTTGACATCCCTGATATAGGGTTTCCTGCCTGAGCAAGGTGTTCTGTCAAATTATTCATGAATTGGCAGAGACATGGTAACAAGGTCAGCCAATGAATAGGCATAGCAACTAAGTCAGCCAATTGGGAACTGAGACAGACTGGAGCCAGGGCATGTCTTAGTCTGCAGCTTCTGAGTCTGTGCAGAGAATTGAAATAGAAACTGAAACTAAGCAGTCTGTGCATGCTGTCTGCTCTGCTGAAATGAAACTAACTGTTCTCTCCTGCCTTGCGTTCTGCCTGAAAGAATCAACTATTGGTATTGTAAATACTTCATCTGTTATTATGTATATAAAGAAGCGAATGAATCCAGCTGAATCAGTTATCTGTGTGTCCTTCTGGATTTGATTTTTGCAAGAAACTCTGACATGTTGGACTAGAAGACCTCCAAGGTCCCTTCCAACTCTACTATTCTGTTACTTGAGTGAGACTGCTCAAACCCACCTTCCTTCTGACGTGTTCTCTCTCTCTCTCTCTCCCCCTTCTCCATTTGTCTGCAGTTCCAAACCAATGCATGAGAAATCAGGGCTGATGCACAGCCTGGACAAGCTGGAATCCTGGCACAAGGAAAAGAACTTGGATTCTCCGAATGGCAGGTGAGAATGGCCTCACTCACACTTGGCAGGAAGGCCAAGCACCTGGAACAAGGCCAGCTTTTCTCTCAGGAACATCCATCCGTTGCTTTTCCTGGCAGGTTGCACGCTCGGTCATCTTGGTACAAGATGCAGGTTGAAAGATGTACTCCTGAATCCAGGTAGACCTCCTCTTATGACCACAATTGGAACCAGAATGTCTGCTGCTAAGGAAGGCGGCTATTAAATAAGTTGTGGCGCCCTTGTTACCATGGTTGTTAAGTGAATCACTGCAGTTCTTAACTGTAACGCAGAGCCGTTAAAACAAATCCAGATTCCCTCATTGATGTCGATGGAGATTCTCAGTCATTCAGGTCACAGTTGTCCCAAAGGTGCTTTTCTCAAGAGGCAACTGGACTTCAGCTTGGATCGTCAGAGGCTTTTAAAAGAAAAAAAACCCTCTGCCGATCAGGCAACTCAGCTGGGATCATCAGCTGACGATCCCTTTGACGATCCCAGCTGAGCCACGCGATCATCAGAGGCTTTTTTTTTTTACTTTTAAAAACATTTTTTCGGCCGAAGAGGTTGTACAAAAAATGCTTTTAAAAATTAAAAGAAAAAGCCTCTGATGATCGTGCGGCTCAGCTGGGCATTGGGGGTGTGGGCAGGGTTCTCTGAACCACCAGCCTCCATCGCTACCGGATCAGGCGATCCAGTCCAAACCGGGAGCATTTCATCCCTGGTTCACGGGGGTTCGGGAGAACCTCTAGCTAAGATTCTGTGTAGTTCGGAGAACCCCCAAATCCAACTCCTGACTGGCCCTGCCCTGCCCCTCCCAGGAGTCCCCATGCAGCCCGTTTTGGATGCAGGTAAGTGCAGGGCACATGCGGAGGCTCGGGAAAGTGAAAAACGGGCCTACCGGAAGTTCGGGAAGGCCGGAAACAGGCTCATTTCCAGCCTCCAGAGGGCCTCCAGAGCCTGGGGAGGCTGTTTTCGCCCTCCTGGAGGTCGAGAAAAGCCTCTGGAGCCCGGGGAGGGCAAACCCACCCCCCAGCCGTGGTGCAGGAGGCCGACTAGGCCACGCCCACCATAGCCACGCCTACCCAGCAACCTGGCAGAGGACCCCTTACTAAAATTTTTGAAGCCCACCCCTGAATCTTTCCCCTTCTTTGGAAGGACAGAATTCAGCAAACATCCCCCTTTCTCCATCTGGGAGCTAGCATCGTGAATGAATCCTTTCCCCCCAAATTTTTCTGTTTATGGGTATCCGCATGAGACTCCTTGATGAACAGTGATTATACGGACACAAAGACGTTCAACAGTGATATTTCTCCCCATCTCTATTGCAGTTTGAATCTGAACAATGCTGTAAAGAATGAAGAACTCAAGAAATGTCCCCAAGAAGTCACGGTAAGTCAGGCAGAGAGAGAACGGTCATAATTTTGATGGACCACTTGGCCACTTTCCTTGATAGCTATGTTGGAATAGATGAGGAGGACGTCAATATGCATGGGTTCAGCTTCTGCTGGCTGGGGAATTCTGGGAGTTGAAGTCCAGCCATCTTAAAGCTGCCAAGTTCAAGAAGTTTTTTTTTTTAAATATATATATATATACATTTTTTATTTTATTTTAATACAAACAATCCATCTTCCATTAAACAGTTTGTCGTCTGGGTACAAATGTCTTGTGCAATACCAATTAAAATTTACAGCCATATTCAGTATTCATCTACTCTTAATACTGATATACATAGCATATCTAATACTTTAACAATACTCATTCTTAACTTATTTAATTCTATTAATATATTTTCTATATTTCACTAATCTGCTTTTATTTCTAACTTTCATAATTATTCCTCTAGCCATCGGTAAAATAGTTCCCATACAATATAATATTCAGTTTGTTCCTTCTCTTTAATTGCAAGGGTTAGCCTATTCATGTCTGCACATTCTAATATTTTCCTAATCACAGTTTTGAAGGTTTTGTGTGTTGCGTGAACTCGGCCACTCCTGGTTTGCTTGATTCAGCAATGGTTAAAAGGAACAATTAAGGCCAAGAGTGTCTTGTTTTTCTCTTTTTTTTTATGATGTGGTTTCAACGTGGTCTGTTCTTCTTAAGCTTTTTTTAAAAAAGGAAGTGAAACAGCTGCTAAGATACTCCAGACTTGCTTTTTGGTCAGTCTTTGGCATGTTCTTGACACTTGGATCTGTTTTCTCTCTAGGCTCCCAATAAATATAATTCTCAGTATCACAAGTTATTCAAGGATATCCCCACTGAAGAGAGCGTGGTGAAAGGTAAAGAGAAAAAGGACTGCCCAAAAAACCCAGGTCTCTCTCCTGATCATTCCCCAGCATTGTTCCTTCCAAAGGTGCTGGAAAGTTTCAAAAGGAAACTAACTACTGTATTTTTTGTAGTATAAGATGCACCCCCCCCCCCCAAAAAAAAGGAGGTGAAAATTTAGGTGCATCTTATACACCAAATGTAGCCACGCCCACCCACTGGCCCCCACCCTTTAGCCTCTGCCTCCCAGCAGTTTACCTCCTTGCAGCAAACAGCAAGAAGAAACAGCTCATTTCAGCTTCAGCACAGCATAATTAGCACAAATTGATTGGATCGGCCTCCCGACTCTCAGCTGTTTTGTTCTCAGCTGTTTTGTTTTGTTCAGCCGGCCTCTGCTGCTTGCTGCAAGGAGGAAAATTGCTGGGAGCAGTTTTTTTTTTTTCCTTGTGCTAATCAAGCTATGCTGAAAACGAAACTGAAAGTAAAGCAGGCTATTTGCTGTTTGCTGCAAAGAGGCAAAATTGCTGGGAGGCAGATTTCTTTTTCTTGTTTTCCTCACCAAAAAAGGTAGGTGCCTCTTATAGTCCGGAGCGTCTTATACTCCAAAAAATTTGGCAACTGGGATTAAAATTCCATCCCCTGGTCTGCTTTACCTTTTCATTCGTCAATCTCCCAGCGCTGCCTTTGACATCCGTCCATCCCCTCCTTTAACTGATGACCACTTTTGAGGTTAAAAGCATTCCTGGCACTGCAGCCTCCGTCTGTTTTATTTCCAGTCTGCTCCTGTGCTCTCCAGCGAGACATCCTTATCCAAGGCCGCCTCTACATTTCTCCAAACTGGCTCTGTTTCTACGCAAACCTTTTTGGGAAGGATATCAAGGTGAGCCTGCACAGGGGAAAGGGGAGGCCACAAAGGTGGGACAGTTTGGGCTTCTTCTCTGGCCTGTTGGCTTTGACTCTGTGTCCTCGTCGAACCTGGAGAAGGCTCCTGCGTATTCCTATGCTGGCTGCAGAATTCCGGAGTTGAAGTCCACAAGTCTTAAAGCTGCCAAGTTTTGAAGACCTCTGGTTTAGATGCTAAAATAAATTTTGCAACTTGACATTCTACAACTTCTTTTTTTCATTTCAGGTTGTTATCCCTGTGGTCTCTGTCCAACTAATCAAAAAGCACAAAACAGCCCGGTTGTTGCCAAACGGACTCGCCATCACCACCAACGCCAGCAGAAAAGTAAGAATCGCTGCTACTGCTGACTGCCGGCTGCCAGCAGTTCGGCAGTTTAATTCCGGCTCGAGGTTGACTCAGCCTTCCATCCTTCCAAGGTCGTGAAAATGAGGATCCAGATTTTTGTGGGCAGTGGTGAAATCCAAATTTATTTACTAACCAGTTCCGTGGGCGTGGTGTGACTTGGTGGGCGTGGCTTGGTGGGCGTGACCGAGGAAGGATACTGCAAAATCTCCATCCCCACCCCACTCCAGGGGAAGGATATTGCAAAATCCCCATTCCCACCCCATTCTTTTAAGAAAAGATTGGACAATCGTTTGTCTGAAATGGTATAGGGCAGGAGTGGGCAATTGTGGCTCAGCTGTCTCAGGAATTCTGGGAGTTGAAGTCCACAGGTTGTAAAAGAGCTCAGCCTGGAAGATCCACCCTGCGTCTTTCTTGGTTTGGGGCCTTACATGGCCTGGACTTTCCCTACTTCTTACACATCTCGTGTTCTCTTTTATTTGCAGTACATCTTTGTGTCCCTCATTTCCAGAGACAGCGTCTACGATGTCTTGCGGCGTGTCTGCACCCACTTGCAGGTATTGTTGTGGCCCGCCAGCAGCCGGCAGAGCTGGCAGCAGTGGGGAGGTTGGGGAGGAACATGGGCCAGTCCTGGAGTCTGGGGAAGGCTCTGATGAGGGCTCTGCGTCGGAGGCAGAGAGGGGGCCAGGGACATATGCCAGTTATCTGCTGCCTTCGGAGTCAGACATCAGTGAGGCAGATGAACAGCTGGAGCCTGTTCCCAGTGTGCGCATGCGCAGAGTTGCCAGACGAAGGGAACAACTAAAGAACAAGGGTCCGAGAGCATATGCACCAAGACAAATTCCTTGTGTGTCCAAACACACTTGGCCAATAAAGAATTCTATTCTATTCTAATTATCATTCTATTCTGTTCCATTCCATTCCATTCCATTCGATTCCCAAGCTGGAAACTATCAATATCAATATAAATCATAAGGATACAGCAACATTACAATCATGCAGTCATAAGTGGGAGGAGATGGGTGGTGGGAACAATGAGAAGATTAATAGTAATGCCGACTTAGTGAATAGTTTGACAGTGTTGTGGGAATTATTTGTTTAGCAGAGGGATGGCGTTTGGGAAAAAACTGTCCTTGTGTCTAGTTGTTCTGGTGTGCAGGGCTCTGTAGCGTCGTTTTGAGGGTCACTTTTGGTGTTTACTTTCTCTACAGGTCTCCAGCAAAAAAAGTCTGAGTTTGAAAGAATTCACCGAAGAGCCAGATGCGGTAGCCTTGGTAAGATTGATTTCTGAAAGATTAAACTGCAGAGTTCCTTCACAACAGCGTTTTGGTCACCCAAAGGCCCGAAGGAAACCTCTGTGTGAAAACCTCTGTTCAGTCAGTCACCCAGTCACTTTCACCCTTCTCATCCAAAAGAATGGTGGCACAGCGGTTAGAATGCAACTTTGCAGGCTAACTCTGCCCACAGAGGGAGTTTGATCCTGACCGGCTCAAGGTTGACTCAGCCTTCTATCCTTCCGAGGTCAGTCAAATCAGGACCCAGATTGTTGGGGGCAAGAGGCTGACTTTGTAAACTGCTTAGAGAGGGCTAGAAAGCACTGTGAAGCAGTATATAAGTCTAAATGCTATTGCTATTTCCTTCCTTCCTTCCTTCCTTCCTTCCTTCCTTCCTTCCTTCCTTCCTTCCTTCCTTCCTTCCTTCCTTCCCAGTGGTTAGAATGCACTATTGCAGACTAACTTTGTCCATAGCTAGGAAGTCCTGACCGGCTCAAGGTTGACTCAGCCTTCCATCCTTCCGAGGTCAGTCAAATGAGGACCCAGATTGTTTGGGGCCAACAGGCTGACTTTGTAAACTGCTTAGAGAGGGCTGTAAAGCCCTGTGAACCGGTATATAAGTCTTAAGTCTTACTGCTAATAAGCTTCTTCAATTCTATAACTGGGTGAGGAGTGAAACATTTTCAAAGGAAAAAAAAAATGAGAAAGTCCAGTTTCCTTTTTGAAAAGCATCTTTGAGACGAGAATCAGAAATACTTCGCTGATCTCCTTCTGGGTCACTAACTTTGATGTTTCACTAAAAAAAAAATATCAGTAAAAATTCAGGCAATTGCCACTTGCTTTTATCAACCATGGACATGCTTTCCCAACAGGCGGTCATCGTCCCAGAGGTGAATTGGAGGAGGAGGTCCACGGCGTCACTTTCGCTCGCCCTCCCAGATGCTGGCTTCCAGTGTATCCACCGAACTTCGATCAGCAGCCTCAGTGCTAAAGAGACCTCCTGCAACTCGGAGGAGCCCCTGGTATCAGGTGCGGGGAACTCTGAAGGACCTTCTGGGATGGAGGGACGGCATCTTCCTGGACCGGCCCAGAGGGTGTGCAGTGCTCCCAAGGTCATCAGGAGGGGTTGACGTGCGACTGAAACCATAGCTTGCAGCTTTAGTTTGGTTGCAATCGGTGAAATTACAAGTTCAGAATTGCGACTGAGCTTGTGACCCGTCAGCGGCCAGCAGAGCTGGCAGCAGTTTCAGACAGTGAGGAGGTTGGGGAGGAACATCCTGGAGTCTGGGGAAGCCTCTGACGAGGGCTCTGCGTCAGAGGCAGAGAGAGGGCCAAGGCCATTTGGTAGTTCTTTGCTGCCTCTGTAGTCTCTGGAGTCTGACATCAGTGAGGCAGAAGAACAGAGGGAGCCTGATCCCAGTGTGCGCATGCGCAGAGCTGCCAGAAGACAGGAACAATTAAGAAAACAGGGTCGACTTGGGAGTAAGGCTTGGAGATGATTGGCCCCTCCCATAAGACAAAAGAGAAGCAAAAGGGACTTCAGCTTTTGCAGGAAGCAATTAGTTCATCTGGTTGGTAAAAGCGTTGGAAAAGTTCTGTTTGACTCTGTCCCAAGTTTGGCCTTGCCCTGCGTGTGGCAATTAGTTCTCTGGCAGCATTCCAAGGGAGATAAGGTGGGTGTTCATAAACATTCCCCTGAAAGACTGTTTGAGAAGCCTTTCGGACTGTGAATGACAATAATTCACAGCCGTATGAATAAAAGAGGTTTGCCGGGGACTAAGATTGTGCTGTCTACTTTTCTAAGGAAGCCTGGGTCAGAACAGAGCTCTTTCTACAAACCCTTCGATGAACATCATCATTTCTGGAGTCTCCAACCTCCCAGTTGGGGTTCTGTGTGATCTGAATTTCTCCCTATGTGCTTCTGTTCCAGAAAGCACGGTAAACTCTGAGGAGGAAGAGGAGGAAGAAGAAGAAGAGGAGGAGGAGGAGGAAGAGGAGTTAGTAGTGGACCAAAGCTACAAAGCAGAACTGAGACCAGCTGATTATCAGCTGCTGAAAATCTTCATAGTGTTGTAAGTCGAAGGGATGAATTTTCCCATTTTTTCTGTGGTTTTCCATTTCCCTCTTGGCTCAGATCTAAAGTGGGGCTCTCTGGGGGTGGGGGGGGTCTTGATCCACAGAATCTGCCTTTTGGTGTTGTCCTCATTGTACCTGGCCTTCCGAATCTTCCGGCTGGAGGAGCAACTCTCCTCCTTGAACCAGGATTACCTTTCTCGAGTATCTCAAAGGTAAGAGATATTCTGAGGTTTCAGAATATCTGAATATCCCCCCCCCCCAAAAAAAAAGGAAAGGAAAAAAAAAGATTTATATCCAATTTTATCTCCAAAAGGTGGACTACCAAACATGCATTGCACTTTTAATTCTTTGTGAGGCTAAAAGTGCCGTATTAATGTGATAGATTGCCAGTTTGGGGGGAAACCAGTGAAAATAAACCAGGTTTAAAAAAAAATCAAACTAGAAGTTTCAAACTGGAAAAAAAAATCAAACTAAAGAAGCAACGGATGGAAACTTATCAAGGAGAGAAGCAACCTAGAATAAGGAGAAACTTCTTGGCTAGTTAGAACAATTAACCAGTGGAACAACTTGCCTCCAGAAGTTGTGAATGCTCCAACACTGGAAGTTTTTAAGAAGATGTTGGACAACCATTTGTCTGAAGTGGTGTAGGGTTTCCTGCCTAAGCAGGGGGTTGGACTAGAAGACCTCCCAGGTCCCTTCCAACTCTGTTATTCTATTCAATTCCTCAAGAATGAAAAGAAATCTTCCATCAGACCCAGTGAGACAGCCTGCGAGGGGGTCCTTCCTGCCCCGTGCCCTTAATACAGGTAGTTCTCGAGTTACAACTGTTCAAGCAGTTTCCTGCTTGAGCAGGGGGTTGGTCTAGCTAGAGGATCTCCAAGGTCCCTTCCTATCCTGTTATTCTGTTTCCCAGAAAAGATTATGTCTTTCCACTTGTGTAAAACAGGAGTGAGTAACTTGCAGTCTGCACACTGCTTTATTGTCTTCCCTCATTGCTGAAAGCCAAAAGTTTGCCCAATATTTTGAGGCCCATCTGCAGTTCTAACTATCCGTTGAAGTCTGCGTCTGTCCTGTTTGGTTACTGTGCCAAACCGGACAGTTACTGAGGTACAAAGGACAGGCTCGACTAGCACCCATCGTGATGCCTGCACACATGAAATTCTGTCCCAAAGGATGCATGTAGATGACTTTACAGTGAAGAAGTTCTCGTTGTTTTCTGTGTAAGCAGCTTGGACTTCTTTCTTTCGACAGATGATTGTAGCACAAGGAAGATTGGAGAAGATGAAACTTCACCTTAAACTCGGGTCCAAGTAGGTAACGTGGCTGCTATGAAGACGGGGCAAGTGGGACTCTGGTTCTTTTTCCATTCTTGTTGGACCAAAGCAGTGAGGAACACCTTAGGTGCTTCCTCACCTCCAAGAATCCCGTTGGAGTCTTAACATGTTGCGTTGACTCTATTAGAACATCTACCAGGCTGCTGGGGATGCTTACGGCCATGACTGAAAAGGTCCTAGCTAGTCTGGTCCAAGAGTGGCAGTTCCAGCCACAATTTCAGAGGTGACCTCCTCAGCGATGACGAAGTTATGGAACTTACTCTCAACAGTGCCAGCAACATTGGAGACTGCACTTAGAGGACTTCTCCAAGGTCCTTCCTTGCACTTTGGAACAGCAGCACTCGGCTGCTCTTACCCGTGAACTTCATGGCTCTCTCCAAGGGGCTATTTGAAATGCCAGGTAGACATGGCCGGATTCTCCTCCGCAGAGGGTTCCTCCTGGGTGTGCCCGTTGCCAGCACTCAGGGCCTCTTTTCCCGTGGAAGGCGAGTGGCCGGATAGTTATTACTCCTGCAATGAAAACACAACCAGTCAACGAAGATGACTAGTAAATGATATTTTACTAAGGATGAGTAGGGGTGTGGAGCTGTCCCGTCCCTGCCCTTTCACATCCCAGTATTCCGAGTTCTCCTTAGGAGAAGGACTGGCTTTCTTGCACTAACAATGCTGCTGCAGTGATTTGCACCCCTGCAAAATTTCCAGAGAGCCAAAGTGACTTTTGAGTGGGTGAGATGGGGGTGCCTCTCGGCTGCCAGGCAAGCCCAAGGTTCTTATGGACTGCGGCCAACTGAACATATGCTGAGCTGTTGAGTAGGCAGCTACATCAGGGTCTTTCGGGAAAAGGAAATGTAGAAGAAGCGTCTCGGTGATTGAGTTGCAGCCCAAAATGCCCTTCCTTTTTGGTTTGCCTCCTTAAAATAGAAGCTGTAGCTTGGCTTTGATGGGAGGGGAGACCACCCCACCAAGTAGACCAGATTGTGAAATCAACTCTACAGGATGATTACAGTTACTTTGAGATTGGCTATACAGATTGTATCCCCTCCCCCTTTTTATAGTTCAGTGCACTAGGGAGGTGTCCAACTGAGTCACTTCCAGATGTTTTTTTTATATATATATATATATATATAATATATATATATATATATATATAATATATATATATATATATATATATATATATATATATATATGGATGGATGAACGGATGAGTTGGATAGGTGAGTGGAGGGAAGGATGGAGGAATGAATGGATGGGTGAGGGGATGGAAGGATGGAGGGATGAAGGGATGGGTGAACAGATGGGTTGGATAGGTGAGTGGAGGGAAGGATGGATTGGTGAAGGGATGGGTGAGGGGAGGGAAGGATGGAGGGATGAATGAATGGGTGAGTTGAGGAAAGGATGGAGGGATGAATGGATGGGTGAGGGGATGGGTGAGTGGAGGAAAGGATGGAGGGATGAATGGATGGGTGAGGGGATGGGTGAGGGGAAGGAAGGATGGAGGGATGAATGGATGGGTGAGGGGATGGGTGAGTGGAGGAAAGGATGGAGGGATGAATGGATAGGTGAACGGATGGGTGAGTTGAAAGGATGGAGGGATGAATGGATGGGTGAGGGGATGAGTGAGTGGAGGGAAGGATGGAGGGATAGATGCCTATCTCCATTAGAGTCATCTTCCTTATCTCTACAATGGCCAGTTAGCTGCAACCCAGCAACAGGGTGAGAAAACTTAGCTGTCGGGCCCTGGAAGACCTCTTGGTGGCCAAGTGGGGAATTCAACCAAGGTAGAATTTCCATCAGGAAAAGGATCTGCTGGAAAGAAACGGTGGGGTTGGAGCAGGAGACCAAAGTCACTTTTGGAGGGACGGCTGGATTCTTCAAGGGAGCATCTCCTGAGAAAGTATGGAGAGGGAGGGTGGGGTTGAAGATGAATGGACGGCTCTTGGTGCCAACAGCTAGATGGTCTCCTGGCATCCCTCTGTGATCCTCCCAGTTTGTCCCACGATCCTGCAGGAGGACCTTTGGGCGTTATTGATGGGAAGCAAATGACACTCCTGTGGGCAAGGGTCCGAACAAAAGGTTGAAAAAGGGGGGCATTGGTGGAAAGGCTCTGCGGTGTCTACCAGGGGGCTTCCGAATGAACAGGGGGGCCGAAAGCCATTTCATCAGCATCCCTGGACAGAAGCGGCCTGTTACGGCTTCTTCTTCTTCTTCTTCCTCTTCTCCTTCCCAGGGACCGCCAGGCTGCCGGACAGCTGGTCGGTTTCTTCTCTTAGCAATAAGGTCTCAGGTGTTTAGGCAATTTGCTTTCAACCTCCCCCCTTGTTGGCTGGGAAAGTGTAACCCTGATTTTATCGGTCTGTTATTTTGGGAGAAGCGCTGCTAAGACAAGGACCCTTTTTTCATTGGCCAGTGAGGGGGGTTTGCAAGACCAAAAAAAAAAAAAAAAGCTACGGCCAGCAGGCACGGCAAAGACCCATCATGTAAGGCTGTCAACGCTCACCCTAGGTGACGACAAGAAAAGCTTTGCTGAGCCTATTGGTTGGAAGGTATTTGTGCAACCGGATGGGGAAAGAAAGTATAGGACAGTGATGGCTAACCTTTTTGCCGTCGTGTGCCAAAAGTGGGGGGAGTGGGGGTGTCGCACCCATGCGTGCCCACACCCATAATTCAGTGCACCCACCCACCCCCCTACATGCGTGCGCGAAACCCCTGCGCTCCCCCCGCTTTTGGCATGTGATGGCACAGTAGGCCCGTTTTTCACCCTCCCCAGGCTCCAGGGGCTTTCTTGGAGCCTGGGGAGGGCGGAAAACAGCCTTCCCTATCTCCCTGGAGGCCAGAAATGGCCCATTTGCCGACTTCCGGTGAGCCTGGAAGGCCCAAAAATCAGCTGACCGGCACGCACATACGCGCCAGAACTGAGCTAGGGCAATGCTCGTGTGCCCACTGATATGACTCCACGTGCCACCTGTGGCACGCGTGCCATAGGTTCACCATCACTGGTATAGGTTGTCCCTTCGCTGCATTTCCCCCCCCCCCCGTCATTTTTGCATGTTTGTGCTCGAAACTCAAGATTTAGCAGGTCGTCGTAGGAGCTCAAAACCCAGTTTGCTCTTGAAGCTTTATGGATTGCCTTTCGCTCTTTTAACAACACGTTGTCTATCCCTATCGAAAATAACTCCTGGAGGCACTTTGAATGCAGTCACAAGGCACGTTATAAAGGCACAGTATTGTTCTTAATGCGAATGTCGTCGTTTTTATTTCTTCTCAAAAAAAAAAAATATTCAGGATAATCGCTTCAGAACATTTTGGGGGGAAGGGGGCTTTGTCCTCTATGAGACCTAGGCTGATTATGGCAGCAAGGGAAATGCTAAAGGCCAGCAAAAGCTTAGCCACGTTTTGACATCCTGGGCTGCAGAATTGTGTAAAAATGGCTTCCTGTTTTGGCTGGAAGGCCATCGGTTTGGCGATGGCTACCGAAAGCATAAAGCCGGAAGCAAACCTTTTAAAAATCTGTCACCTGAGATAAATTTAATAACAGCAACCCCAGTCAGTATGAAAATCCGATTTCCACACCCCCAACCACCCACTGTGGTTAAATTGTTGGTACTAACAACTCGTTGGTACTAACGAGTACTTATTTTATTTTTTTTATTTTATTTTATTGAATTTATATACCGCCCTACTCCCAAAGGACTCAGGGCGGTGAACAGCCATAGAATAAAACATATAAATACAAAATTTTAAATATAATAAAACAAATTAAATAATTTGGCTGAACAAATTTAAAACCCCAATAATTTAAAACGAAATTTAAAATTTCCATTTAAAAAGGGGAAAGACTTCTCGATTTCCCTCAAAAAAATGATCTAAAATGTGAAAAACCACCGTATGAACCATATTTTAAGTTTAAATTAAAGTATCATCCAGTGGTGAAATGTAAAATTTGTTACTATTGGTTCTGTGGGCGTGGCTTGGTGGTGGTGACAGGTAATGTGACTGGGTGGGCGTGGCCAACTTTTTTCCTTTTTTTTTTTTTTACTTTTAAAACCATTTTTTCTACAACCTCTTCGGCCGAAGAGGTTGTAGGGGGGAAAAATGTTTTTAAAAGCCTCTGGCGATCCCAGCTGAGTTGCCTGATCGGCAGAGGCTTTTTTTTTTTCTTTTAAAAACATTTTTTCTACACCTCTTCGGCTGAAGAGGTTGCAGAAAAAAAATGCTTTTAAAAGCCTCTGGCGATCAGGCAATTCAGCTGGGATCGCCAGAGGCTTTTAAAGGCATTTTCTTTTTCCTACAACCTCTTTGGCCGAAGAGGTTGCAGAAAAAAATGCTTTTAAAAGCCTCTGACGATCCCAGCTGAGCCACGCGATCATCAGAGGCTTTTTTTTTTTTTTACTTTTGAAAGCATTTTTTCGGCCGAAGAGGTTGTAGAAAAAATGCTTTAAAATTTTTTTTTAAAAGCCTCTGATGATCGAGCTGGGCATGGGCCAGGGATTTTTGCTACTGGTTCTCCGAACCACCCACCTCCATCGCTACCGGATCGGGCTAGATGTTGGTGGAGGGACGCATCCTTTTTCTTTTTTCTTTCAAAAGAGCTGGAATTGAGAAAACCCGTTAAGCTTTTTTGTACCCGTGCGTTTGCTAATCCCTCCCTTGAGCTCTCAGCTTTATGCCAATTACATAATCTATACCGATGCCTCCCCAACATGTCCATTTAGGTCATACGTCCGAGTTTCTCAGCTGCCAATGGCCGTTTGGTGCAGATTCAAAATGGCAAAAATGCAAATCTTTCTCTCTCTTTTTTTTTTTTTTAAATACCAGCATCGGGGTTTCACTTGTGGGACCTGGGGGGGGGGGGCAGGCAGATATCAGTCTCTGTGAATAATTTTTAGATCTCTTCTTTCATGCCTGCTAGAACTTCTGCCCTGATAGGCAGATTAAAACATGAAAAAGATAATCTCTGTCTCTCTCTCTCTCTCTTTTTTTTTAAATGGTAGCTCATTTGATGCAGAACACCGTTTCTCCGGCACCGTTTCCAAGAATAACTCGGAGCTTTGCAGAGCATCTTAACGCCAGCGGAACCTTTCATGTTCTAAAAATACCTTGGGAGGGTTGAAGGGTGTGTTTGGGGGGGGGGTGTCTCTGCAGTGCTTATTTCCATACCTAGCTTTCCTCTGCAGTTTCCCCCTTTCTGCATGTTATCGCTGACAGCCGCACTCCCAACATTTGGGAAGGGCAGCTTCGATTCAGATATGCGCATTTGCCCCCCCCCCAAAGAACGACGTGTCAATTGCATCGACTTGTTTTAAAAACCGTGGAGCAAATGTTATTTCTTCTCTGTCCTTATCTGGCACATGATTGCAAATTGGAAATGCGCCATTCTGATGTTCCCTGTCCTGTTAAGGGAGATTTAATCGGCTTAGCTTTTGCTGGAGGACTTGTGAGCCAGCCTTAATAGCTTTTTTTCCTTCTTCTTGCTATCCCATTGGCTAAACGACTGGAGATTTCTCTGGTTCGCCTCTTGACCGAACAGCCCCACAATTTCTGACAGACTGATTAGGGGACATCTGTTGCCCTGGATGATGGGTTAAGAGCACTCTCTGCACACACGGCTGCATTTGGCACGGGGCTAATACATGCAGCCATGGAGCTCAGAACTGGGAAGGTCTTTTCATGGTATTTCAGTTCAGAAAGAAATTAAGAGTGTGTCATGTACTAAAAGCAGTGTAGAAGGTCGATACTACCCATAATCCTCTTTGGCTTAGGTCAGGGGGTGTCCAACCTTGGCAACTTTTAAGACCTGTGGACTTCAACTCCCAGAATTCCTCAGCCAGCATGGCTTAATCAGGTGGATTTGGGAAACTAATTCTCGACATTCTCTTGCTGCCTTTTTCTGAGGTTTTCTGCTTCCCATCCTAGCTTCCTCCAAAATCATTAAGCAGATCTTTTTTTTTTTTGTTTGCCATCAGTCAAGATCTCTAGGGACTGTCCCCTTATCTAGCCCTCAATTAAGCGGCATATGGCACT